ATCCATAAAAACTCTCAGGATCCGACAAAATGGTAGGATCTTTAAAAATTGTTATATTAATTTTGTTAAATATTAAAAATGTACTTTGTATATTTTTCAGTTAACTAGATAAAATATTCATAAGAGATAAAAGGACATATTGTGCAGCCTGACAAAATGGATAGCCTTAAAAATAGGTAGGATGATTAAAATAATATAAATTTAATTTTAAAAAAATCACTTGCTTAAATTATTAAGTCTTATCAGGAGATAAAAAGTGATACTTTTGAATTATTCACTATTCATTTACATTTTCCAGAATTATTTTATGTTTGTTTATAGATATATTCTTAAATATTATTTAATATTTATTTGTGCGCAAAAGTCATGCGAATAAAACAAAATAAGATAAAGGTGATTTATTTTGTGAACATTTATAGAAATGGCCCCAAAAATAAATAATTTAAATTTGAGGAATAGGAAGAATAAAACTATTTACATTCCTACGTTACGTTTAAATTTATCTGTTTTCAGATATAATATTTTAACCTAGATAAGTATTTCCTTATTAAGTTTAGAATTTACTATTTTAAGATAAGAGTGCACTCGTTATTCATTTCCTCCGTTCATTTTCTCTGGAGATTATATTGGAAGATAAGGTTGAGCAAAAGCAACATTTATTATTTAAATTCCTCAGTAGTATAAAAGTCTATGTAGCCGTTATATTAAAATGAATCCATTGTGTTAATTAAAACGATACAGCATCCTAAATTGTATCATTATTAGTCATCAATTTATTAATTTTAGTTACACAACAGTTTGGCTTAATTTTAATAATTCATAATCTAATTTATGAGATAGATGAGACATTCAGTCTAGTTCAACACAATTTAATAAACTTATTCAAATATTTAAAATTTTCAAACCAGGAAAATGTGATGAGAAATTCAGTTTAATTTAACACAATTTAATTAGTGTTGTTAAATAGTCGAGTTTTTACGACTCTGAACTCAAGTTGGAGTCGCAAAACTCATTTCAAATTGAGCGGCTCAATGAGCCGCATGAGTCGACTCGATGAGTCGGCTTCAGAGTCAACTAGTGTTGTTAAATAGTCGAGTTTTTACAACTTTGAACTCAAGTTGGAGTCGCAAAACTCATTTCAAATTGAGCGGCTCAATGAGCCGCATGAATCGACTCGATCGGCTTCAGAGTCCCTCTATATATTATACTCATTAAAGTTGTTTACTTAAAGCCGACTCATCGAGCCGACTCTGAAGCCGACTCATCGAGCCGATTCATGCGGCTCATTGAGCCGCTCAAATTGAAATGAGTTTTGCGACTCAAAACTTGACTAGATTTTAGGCTAAGTCGACTCGACTTAGCCGTTTAACAACACTAAATTTAATAGACTTATTCAAATATTTAAAATTTTCAAAACAGGGAAATGTGATTGAATAAGGCAATTTATATCAAGTAGTTGTTTGAAATTTTGTGATATTTAGTGATACTTAGTGAAAGTAAGTGTTAAAGAGTAACCCAGTTTACATTGGTCATAATGTTTTTGAACCACATAAGATCAACCTGCATTCAAATTTCCTATTTTTTAATTAACACTTTCTTGATTAAATTTACACAACGCTTTAACCTAATTGAAGATTCTTATTCTAAACTTTTAAAGTAGATACATTTAGTATAATTAACTTAATTTAATATTCTTATTTAAATATTTAAATTTCAGAAAACAAACAGATATAAGTGAATAAGGCAATTATAAGGATTAGTTGCCTGAAGATTTACAATATACTTTTATGATCAATAGCCTTCAGCCTGTTTCTCACATGACTAGAGTGCCCTTATTTAGATAATTTTTTTAAATTAATGGCACTCCAATTTCAGGAATTCAAGGAAAATGATTAACTTGTTGAACCATCGTCCAAGCAGTATTATTTATAAATATCTATCCATTTTTGCAAAATCAAATGTGATAAATCGCTAAAAGTAATAATCGCTAAAAATAATAAAAAATATTATCTATTTAAAAATAAATTAAGACTGTTGGTTGGATCATCTGTTTGTATAAAATAAATAAATAAAATCAATAAATAAAAAATATAAAAATAAATACGTACCGATGACATGACGTAGCGATGACATGACGTAGCGATGACATGACATAGCGATGACATGACGTAGCGATGACATGACGTAGCGATGACATAACGTCACGATGACGTAGTGAGGACATCGGAAAATTATAATATAGATCATGGAAAATAATTATCTCTATTTTAGATTTATCTTAAAAACATGTTATATCATGGGAAGACTTGAATTATAGTATCTGGCTATTGGTAAATTAAATTTAGTATTTCTAATTGTTCAGCTAACTTTAAAAAGGATGATATAAAGATTACTACTGAAAAATTAAAATTATATTATAATTATTAGGGACCCAGCCCTAGCCGGAAGACCCCCTATGGATAAAACCTGATTCCGCAACTGCCTAAATCATATTGTTTAGACTTATTTCCATAACTTAAATATCACAAGGGCTTTATTAGCCTGTACAATCTCATGGGGCTACTAAAATAATTTTATGGGAGTATCGCCCCCATACCATTTGCACAGCCTTCGGCCGGGTTTTATCTAAATATATTATACTTGTTTAAATTGAAATTTGTAAGCTGTTAACAATTATTTTGAATTTTATATTTTGTCATTTATCGAAGTAAAACAATACAAGACATTTCTAAATTTAATATTTTTTAATATAAAATATTTATCCATTTATTACAAAATTAAATATTTTCGATTGCAAATATAAAAAAAATTTATTTAAAGAATTAAGTGATAAAAAAGGTTACCTCAATTGATATGGGTTTTTAAAAACAACACAGGGTGGTATAATTCTTAGTAAACTACATTGATAAAAGGTCATTAAACGAATATAACGTTTTGTTACCATTTTAGACAATGTTTAGAATTGACTAATAAGGAAAATTTTGTAGGATTAAATTCTTAAAAAAGATAATTGGATAATATAAATGACTAATCTAAATCATAAGACTATTTGGGTTAATGATAGATACTAAGTCAATGTATAAAAATAATCTAAATAGTAAATACCAACCTAATTTGCTAAATATCGACCAAAATTTATTAAAATGTAATAAACCCCATATTAATTAACATAACGGAATCACGTGGTCAAGTCAGTTCTCCTATATATCAACGAAATCACGTGGTCAAGTCTGGTCTCCTATATATCATCCCCCAAGGACAGAACCACCAAATTGGAATAAATAAAAAAGATCTTTGTTGGGATTCGAACCCAGAACCATCGGATTGGTAAGCGACGCTCTTGCAGACTAGGCCACAGATGTTTAACAAAAATTATGATTTTTCACATATATATTATAAATAAATATGGAATTACCTACCTATCCATATGAAAAATAAACAAAATACAAATTTGATAGGTACTACCTTGAGTAAGTATCTATTATTAATTAACTATATGGTGGTTAGACCTAGATGACATTATGAAGCTAAATAAGTAATCGAGAAAATCATTGTGAGATATTAAATTTCTAAAAAAATTTAATATTATATAAACGACTAGACAATTGACCATTATTGCTCATCTAAATTATGCAATCAAATGCTCTCAGCATCAGAAGTTATAATCTAAAATTAAATAGCCACACAAATAATAGATACTTGTTAATTTGCCGTCATAGACATGACGCTCACTATGTAAACTCTTATCAGAATTTATTATGTTATATAAATTGATAAAACAAAAACACTAAAAATCTTTAGAAGAAATAATTATGCAAATGCATTGAAGCCTTGAGTTATTTACACGGTAAGGATACCATATTAGAAATGAAACATTTAGTAACTATAAAATAAAGACCAGATTGATATGATGAAAGCAATTAAGATTTAATATATTATTGTGGCATCACCTTTAGTTGGTATATCTTAAAATAATAGTAGTTTGTAATAATATCAAAAATTTACTAGTAGTAAAAATTTAACCCAAAACTGTTTATCAAGGAAGAAAAAAATAGCTTTCCTAAAACACGTAATGTTAATATATAAATTTTGAATATTAAAACTTTTATATTTTTCTTTTTAAATTAAATGAACCGAAATTCTTTTTTTTATATAACCTTTTAAAAAACTTAATATGTAAAAATGTAAATTTAAAATGTATATATATAGAGCACAAAATGTTAAATATTTTAATGTTAATAAAAAATAAAATAAAAATTTAATTGTTTTAGTTGCGCTTTCCATTAAATTATTATGGTGGCAGAATACTTGATAATCATTACGCTACCAATTGAAATAAGTATAAAAGGAATTTTTGATAATAACAAAATAGTATATCAAAATGAACGATAATTAATATAATCTGACCTATTTTTTATAAAAATTAAAAATAAAGAACCATTGTCAAACTTTTTTGAATAAATTAAAATATTAAATTTAGTTGTGAAACTATTTGTGATACCAATACCACCAGCGCTATAATCCTAAAGTTGACGGGAAAGAGATGCTATTTCTCTAAAAAAATATAGGAGCACACAAAAGTATGTAAATTTTTTTGTAAAAATCTAAATTTTACACAAAAAATTAAGACTATTTTTTGTAAAAAAAAATTTTAAGACAAAGAAACTTTTAATTTTAGTGAACTATTATATTAATAAGACCTTCTACGAAATTACTAAGAAGCGATTCAAAACTTTAAAATAAACTAAACAATTTTATATTATTATAACTTTAAATGACTTTCATTTAAAATCTTTTAATTTAATATTGTATTTCTTATATATACTCGTTACTAAAATTTATATAATATTTAAAAAAAATTTAATTTCATCAAAATTAAATTTTATATATAATATGCTAAAGTTTATATAGAATAATATAATATAAAAAATTATGATATAATATGATTTATAATTATTAAATTTATCAGACAATTAAAGATAGAAATCAATAATTTATATGGTAAAATATTTTTCTTTTTAAAATGAAAAAATTTATTTTGCAAATCGACTATTAGATATTTCCCATTTCACCCGTTTTTATTGCAATTTTATTCGTACCATTTGGTTTGTGATTGATTATGGTAAGCGTTATTACTTTAAATCCTATATATTCATTTATAATTATTTATATTATTACCAATACATATCACCTATCTTTACTGATGTAAAACAACCTAGGTACACCTTTTTACACTCATTTTCCATCTTATGTGGTATTTTTTATAGCAGATGTGATCAATATAACAAACATTAGATAATTATTTTCGACTTATATAATTTTACCTTAATTACTATTTATAAATCTTTATATCTCCAAAACCTGTTTCGAACTACTTAAAATTTTAAATATTCTAATCAAAAAGTCCTCATTTCATGTTTTTTGAATATTTTTAATTAATTTTTAGCTAATTTTGAATGCAGATTAATCACTAAAGTAACAACTTTAAAATAAAAGATTTAAACATGAATATAATAAAAAATCGAATTACTCATTAAATCAAAGTGCTAATAAATTTAAAATTAATAATGAAATCTATATCTAAATGGATTTTAAAAATCAGGGATATATAGAAGTCTAATTATTAAGCTCAACTATTTTTAAATTTTTAATGGCCCAAAATATTTTGGCCTAGCAATTTGTGCAGTTGGCCAGAATTTTGTAAATATTTTAAACTTTGTTTAATGAAAATCTACTTAAAGAAAAAAATTGATTTCTATGCCGATAAAAGTTAGGCCTGAGTTTATAATATTACTGGTTTTATTAATATTATTATCACTCCTATATCTTTAAGGCTGATAAATGTTTTGAGACAATAACCAAATTTTACATTGATTAATTTACCCAAAAATTTTTTCCCTATTGTTATTTTGCATTGGCAATGTCAAGAAATAAAAAAATGATTGTTAACCATTCCTGAAAATTTGGAAAAATGAGCTCTCATTCTTAGATTTGACAGTTAATCTGGTGTCATACTCATTTAAAACAATTAGAGGTAGGGCTTGGTTACTTATATACTAAATTTCTCTAATTTTTTTAAAGTATTTATGTTTTTTTCATAAAAAAAAGTATTGTGGGCTAAGTTAAATAACTTCTACATAAACATTTTATGGTTACTGCCACTCTCGGGGAAGGGGGGTATATTATTTATATTTTTTTTATCAATTTTTTATTTTTGCCTACAAATTTATTTTTTTTTATAAAGATATTTTTAGGAGAATTTTCCTACAAATTTAATTTTTTTGTGGTAAAATATAGGAATTATTAATTCTGCATATTTTAGGAGAATTTTGCCTACAAGTTTAATTTTTTGTGGTAAAATATTTAAGTTATTTTTAGGAGAATTTTGCCTACAAATTTAATTTAAAATTAAATTTGTAGGCAAAATTATCCTAAAAATATCTTGATAAAAAAAATAATATACCCCCTCACCAGAGAGTGGCAGTAACCCATTTTATGGCATGGTTTCTTTGGACAACATACAATTATTTTATAAGGCATGTTAGACAAAAAAAGTGTATTGACCTCATTGAAAAAAATCTTGACAATCATAAATAGAAATTATTATTTTATAAGAATAGCTACAATTATTTACATATAATTCCAAAATTACTGAATAATTTAAATTATTTTTTGACCTATAATATGGAATGAATGGCCCACTACTCATATAGGTTGGCGCAGCCAGTTCCATGGATTAAACAGGGTAAAAAGATTTTTGGGTTGGGCCAGTAAATATAAGGGTCATTGTAAAGTTTTAAAAAATGTTTTCTAAGCTGATTATTAGACAAATTTATTGTTTTAATTGAAATTTTATTAGCTGGATTGGATAACTTAAATAAATTATTTTATGAGCTAGATAAAAATAATTACCATCAAACTGTGGAGAACCTGATGTAATTTTTATGGTTTAGTGGAAATGTCTTTTAAATATACTTTGTATAAACCAAATAAAAACTTAGATGTAAGGTTAAAAAGCCGAATATGTTATTTTTAAAAATGACCTGATTAAAATATTAGCCAAGATAATAATATTATACAAGCCTGTAGTTTTTGCTCATATACAGAATACATAATATTTTTTTTGAGCTTTTTAACAACCCTATTTGATTGTTAAAACTAAAAATATTAAATTATAAATACAATTACTCTCTTGATCCCTCTATTCTTATTTTTTAACTTATCATTACAGAGATGGGAATAATGAATTAAAGCCACCCTTGACAACTTGTATAAATTTAATTATTTCTTAGTAAAATTTCTAGGTATTCTTATTAAAAAAATTGTTTGATCTTGCCCCAAATATTTTTTTGTGAAATAAAATAATCATAAATGTGCAATGTTAAAGTTAAAAAATTTTGAACTGTTGTTCTATGGATCTTGTTCTAGACAAATATGTGAAATAAAATATTATAAATTTATTAAATTTTATTCTGATATTTTATTTCAGGGTAGGATTCGAAACAAAGTAATAAAAAAAGCTTCAAAAGAGATAATCGAAAAATTTTACACAAAATTGGGTATTGATTTTCATACCAATAAAAAAATTTGCAATGAGATAGCTATAATTTCCAGTAAACGATTACGAAACCAAATTGCTGGGTATTTCATTTTTATTTAGTGATGATAATTTTGACTTTCGTTCTACTGATATACTTTTGAAGATGATCTTAAACTGATAAATACTTTGTTTATAAAAACTATAATCAACAATTTTTTAGGTTTGTAACACATTTAATGAAACGAATCCAAAAAAGGCCAGTTCGGGGAATTTCCCTCAAACTTCAGGAGGAAGAAAGAGAAAGACATGATAACTATATTCCAGAGGTTTATATGATTTAATAAAAAATAATATATAATTGCTTTAATAGGTATCAGAAATAAAAGTTAATGACATAGAGATTGATGTTGATACTAAAGAGATGTTGAAATTCTTGGTATTATATTTTAATTTTTAAATATACATAATATATTTTTTAGGATTTCGATAAACTTCCAGTACGAGTGGTACAAATTCAGCCAGTGGGATTTAATAAATAAATATATTAGTCTATTTAAATAAAATTGTGTTGAATATATTTAAAGAATTAAATCTATCCTTTTTTATTATAGGTAGTTATGTGTTTATTCTAATAGAAGTGATAATTTGTTTTATATCTATGAATAGTGTGGTTAAAAAGCCAGATTTGGGTCAACTAAAAAGTGGCACATTAAATTTATAACTAAAATAACATTAGGTAAGCCTAAAGATTTTGCTCATAGCTGGCAGAAATGCTTGGACATCTATTTGCCAAATCTCAAAGCTCACATAATACTATTTTAGCTAAAATCATAATTGGGCCATTTTGAAAAATTGACCCAAATTATGCTTTTTGGAAAATAATTTTCGAAAGGATAGTGTAAACAGATGTTAATAATTATTAGCAAATTTTTGTTAATCATAATAGAATTTAATATAAATATTAAGTGTAGTATATCTGCTCTATATTATATTATAGGCCTATTTTACCAAAGTAAATATAAGTTAAGGTCTTGAGCCTCACATTGAAATATGAAAGGATTTTTTTAGATTGTCCTTTTCTAAATTTATTATTCTATCTGTTATGTAGGGATGTACCGATATTTTTTATCGAATCGGATTGGGACGATATTTCACCCATTTTAAAATATTGGTTATCGGCCAATATTATAAAATTTTCCAATCCTATATAAAATGGCGTCTTTAACAAAAATATAATGGTATAAAATTTAAAAAAAAAGTTATATCTAAAATCATTTATTTTTATAAATAAAATCGAAATTGAATTGAATATAAATTATAACTGATCATTATAATATATTTAATTGACATAAGTATAGTATAGTTAAATTATAGATGTTATACTAATAAAAAGTTTATTAAAAATTAAAACCATTGGTATCTTTACAGAATACAAAATTAGATATGATATCAGATTGGGAATTGGCTGATATCAATTTAATATTGGGAATATTGGATCGGCCTCCAAAAAGTGGTATTGGTACACCCCTAATATTATATAACTGGTATGCTCCAATCCAGTTCAACAACTTTTTGTTGGATCATTCTAATGTTGTTAAATTACCCAGTTTAGATTAATTTTTAAAAATGGCATGATTAAGATTTTACTAAATAATATAAGCTTGGAGATTTTATTCATGGATAGCAGGAAGGTTCAGACCCCTATTTGTCAAATCTAGATACAATATTATTTTAGTGAAAATCTTTATTATTTAATAAATTTGTTTTAAATATAAAAATCAAACAATATAAAATACGTTGAATTTTTTTTCATTAAATTTTTTAACAAATAATAAGAAAGTTCTTCTATATATTTTTAAACATGTTAAATGGAATAAATTTTATTTTAAAAATCAAGTTATAATAGTTTAATAATCAATTAAAATTTTTAAGTGTTATTATGGTGGTTTATTAGTTCAGAAAATTATAATACCTGTGTGGTTTGACATGTAGATTTCTTTTTAAATTAACATTTGTCAAATTGGTCTATGTATTGCTAAAATTTATTAAAGTTGAAAAGATATTAAAAATATAAAAAGTTTTTTTTATCGATGCTTTTATAGTGCTGTGAAGTAACGTCAAAAAAGTAACATTGTTACTAACCACGTTACTTTTTTTTGAAGAAAAGGAACCCCATTTGTTACCTTCATCTAAAGGTAACGAGTAACGGTAACGCGTTTCTTTTTTTAAGTAATGGTAATGCAAAACGTTACTTTACTCGTTACTTTATATATTTTTTTTAAAAATATCAATAAAAAGAAAAACATATTTTATTGTATTATAAAATTACTTTTATTTATTTTTTAATTCTTAATATTAATAATTTAAGCCGAGTTTAAATTCATATCAACCACTTCCAACATTTTATTTAAATTCTCGTTGTTAAATTATCAGTGGAAATTAAAATTCAAAGTAAATATAATGATATTATTAATTTATTTATAATTTATTTTAAAAGAATATTATGTCCATAGTACTTCTTCACCTGGCTTCAATTTGAATTATATTCTAAACCAATTAAGAAAATTAATGGTACCAAGTCTACACTTTGTAAATGTAAATTATGTCCGAACGCAAATATTTCAACGTCGATGTCAAGTAGCTCAAACTTAAAAAAACATTTGAAGGTAAAGAATGAATAAATATTGATTCCTTTATCCAACACTAGAATATTCAGATAATGATAAAAAAATTTTTGATCAGGAAATGAATGAAGATCTCTGTGAAGATGATCTCTCAAGCTTTTTTCAAAATAAAGATATTTCCTTTAATATTTGTAATAAATTCCCCGAATTGAAATTTTTGTTTATTAAATAAACACCACTCTCCCATCCCTGCGCCAATTGAACGTGTGTTTAGCACGGCGAAAGCTGTGTTGAGTACTAAGTGCTCATATTTATCTGATCAAAATTTTGAAAATCAATTGTTAAAAATAAATTGAAAATTGTTACATAAAGATGTTATCTTATAATATATTATTTTTGTATAATTTTATTCATATTATAATTATAAAATTTTATTATAAAAAGATCTTATCTTATATGTTCTTTTTGTATAGTTTTATTTTATATATTGTCGGAAAAAAATAAATATTTTTTTGCATTATATATAACATTTAATTTTTTTAAGTAACGAGTAGCCCGTTACTTTTTTGAAAAGTCGGTAACGCGCTTTCCTTTTGTAAATTAGTAACGGTAACGCGTTTCTTTTTTTGTAGTAAAGTTTACAGCACTATGCTTTTAATACTATTTCACCTATAAACTTGCTATCTTTTAGTATGTATTTTTAAAAATTTATAAAATAGTTGCATTTAAAATAAAAAAAATTCAGCTTTTGGACAGGATTATACAGATCTCTAATTGGCAATATAGGTCTTGATTTATTCCGAAACTATATGCACATCTAATAATTTTACGCGTCCCCGGTCAAAATACAGTTTTTTTAAAAAAATCAAAACAGATTCATATTTAGCTCATTAAAAGAATACAGAATATGTAAATATTATTTTTTAAAGTATTTTATAACTTAATGATTTTTTGAAAAATCACTTTTTTTTTCAAAAACACTACGCGTCCCCGGTCAAAAAACCGTTTTTTTTTTAAATAAAAGCAGATTCATGTTTAGCTTTTCAAGGAGATTCAGAAAATGGTATTAAAAAAAAAATTTTCGAAAAAATTTTTTTTTGGCTAAACTACACGTCCCCGGTCAAAATACAGTTTTTTTTAAAAAATCAAAACGGATTCATATTTAGCTCATTAAAAGAATACAGAATGTGTAAATATTATATTTTAAACTATTTTATAAGTGATTTTTTCAAAAAACACTTTTTTTTTTCAAAAACACTACGCGTCCCCGGTCCAGTCTTAAAGGTGTTCATGGTGCTCCTGAAGAACAGAATCCTCGCTTCTACCAAAAACCTCCTGTCAAGTAATATTTGCGCCTACAGGCCAAACAAGAACATTAATGAACCCATCCTAGCTCTCAAAATCCACCTCCAAAAACGCTTCAGATACAAACTTCCCTTCATATTTACTTTCATTGACTATAGCAAAGCCTTTGACACCATTAAACACGATGCAATTTGGGAGGCTCTAATAGAATGTAATGTTGATCAAAACATAATCAAAATCTTGAAATATCATTACAACAATTCTTCGGCTAGGTTACAGCTAGGCCGTACTTTCTCTCCTTACTTCAGGATCAGAAGAGGCTTGAAACAGATGTGCGTTCTATCACCCATTCTTTTCAACATAATCATACACAAAATCATAAAAGAACCACGAGCACTATGAACCTAGTCGATCTTTCATCAAACAATAACAATATCAATCATCTAAGAATCACCTTGTACGCAGATGACCTGGTTTCAATTACCAAGTCAAGAAATGAGACAATAGACTTACTAACAAATCTCTGCTTCCACAGAAACAAAGTCGGCCTAACAATCAACTTCAATATTTTTGACCGGGGACGCGTAGTGTTTTTGAAAAAAAGAAGTGATTTTTCAAAAAATCACTAAGTTATAAAATACTTTAAAAAATAATATTTACATATTCTGCATTCTTTTAATGAGCTAAATATGAATCTGTTTTGATTTTTTAAAAAAAACTGTATTTTGACCGGGGACGCGTAGTTTAGCCAAAAAAAAATTTAAAAAATTTTTTTTTTTATTAATACCATTTTCTGAATCTCCTTGAAAAGCTAAACATGAATCTGCTTTTATTTTTTAAAAAAAACGGTTTTTTGACCGGGGACGCGTAGTGTTTTTGAAAAAAAAAGTGATTATTCAAAAAATCACTAAGTTATAAAATACTTTAAAAAATAATATTTACATATACTGTATTCTTTTAATGAGCTAAATATGAATCTGTTTTGATTTTTTTAAAAAAACTGTATTTTGACCGGGGACGCGTAGTTTAGCCAAAATAAATTTTTTTCGAAAAAATTTTTTTTATTAATACCATTTTCTGTATCTCCTTGAAAAGCTAAACATGAATCTGCTTATATTTTTTAAAAAAAACGGTTTTTTGACCGGGGACGCGTAGTGTTTTTGAAAAAAAAAGTGTTTTTTCAAAAAATCACTAAGTTATAAAATACTTTAAAATATAATATTTACATATTCTGTATTATTTTAATGAGCTAAATATGAATCCGTTTTGATTTTTTTAAAAAAACTGTATTTTGACCGGGGACGCGTAGTTTATTTTTTAAAAAAATAAATTTTTGTAAATTTTATATAGTTACCGTATTTTTTTTAAATTAAAAAAAACATTTTCTAACTTATCTTATAAAGCTTAATAAGATTTCCTATTAATAATAATAGAAATAAGTCGTTTTGACCGGGGACGCGTAGTTTTCGGGGACGCGTATTTTAGTCATTCCCGTTTTATCAAATTCACTTGATATTTCAATAAAAATCTTGTTACACACACATGTTCATTTATAGAATCTTTTAATTAAAAATAATAAATATATTATTTTTATATTTTACATATATAATCTTTTATGATTCCTGTCTTAATAATAAATATCATAGATGCACCTATATTTTGTAGTAGCTGGTACTTTTATAATTTTATGGTAGTAGCTGGTACTTTTATAATTTTATGTAATATAGTGGCTTATAACTTAAAACAATAATCACTCATAAGTTTATGTAAAAAATAGACCTGTATAGATAAAATCTACAAATTTTGTTACTAATAAGAGAAATAGGTGCTGTTAATTTTTTTATTTTGTATTATTAATTTTATTATAAAGGAAGAACTAAAGATAACTCCAAAAGTATATACTATTAAGATTCTCTTCATAGTTGATCATTTGTTTTGTTTTGATTATTTCATCTTAATTATAAATGACAAATAAAAAAATATCTTTTATTTTTTTTCAATAAATACATAATGTAATAATATCATTTTTTGCTTAAGTATAAATTATATTATATAAATTATTTATTTAATAAAGTATATTTAATAAGTATATAATGATATAAATGTATAGGCCTTGAAAAGGAAATTATATTGCAACAGTTCACTTTATATTATTTTTGAGTATATTTTCGTCATTTTTGATTATATCATCACCTATAAAAAATTAATATAATTAATTAGCATAGATAATATATAAGATCATAATTTTTATAATATGCCTAATATCTGGTCATTCCTTATACATTAAATTTTAATATATATTTTTTCTGAGTCATGGCTTTCCTGCTCAATATATGGAATAATATTATCAGGATCCATACTAACGCCAAGCAATTTACCCATTTTTTTATTAACAGCACACCCATCGCATACAATGGCTTTGCATATTACTCCAGTAATCTACATAGCCATGATATTCTTTATGTTTTTCAAAATCTATTTGCGTTTTAATAGAATATTAGAAAAATAATATATCATAAATGGAAACTTTTCAAAAAATTATCTTCGTAGACTAGTTTTGGCAATATTATATATGTATTAATATTTCATGCTGACAAATAATGGATATCCAAACTACAAAATGGCGCTACAGCTGATTGCAATGTGAGGACATTTTTATCATGCATTTAATGAATGAATCGCCAATCTATGTTATATATATCATTGCCTATAATATAATAAATAATTCTCTAAAATAAAAATAGTGAGACTAATCCTTGTCTTATAATTCAAAGTTAAAAAACGTGCCGATGTTACAAAGCCATATCATTGCACGTAGTAAAAAGATAATAAAGTTTAAAAAAAAATATTCAACAAAATACAAAAAAATCGCCAATCATAACATCTCCACTCTTTCACAATCCAAAGTTCCACATTGGCGTGACAAGAGTGCGCCTAAAACCGAAATAAATACGTTACCGCTTGTCTTCCTGGGACCTCTAATCCCGGTGCCCTACTTGGTTGAGATGCTGGCTGAACCTTCCACATTTCCCCAATGTTCTTGGCCCCACCTTCACTACCGACGTTCACTGAAATACCTTCTCCAACCTCCGATTATGATGCTCTGGCATAATCCCTTTACCAACACTATCCATATAATAGAATACTCCTTCTAATCCATGTAACACTGCCACCATCGTCCGTTGAGATACTGGCGCAGAAACGCATAACCCAAATGGCAACCTCCGATAGGCGAAGGCGAGGTTATCGTCATCAATTTTTGCATTTCCTTCCTCATTGCAAATATGCATTCGAAAAATTCTCTTCGAAAAATATCTGCCTCCTTTCAAATTAATCAATATTTGCTCGATCTTTGATAACTGATATTTCACGTCAACCACCTATGGATTCAACGTCACCCGGAAATCTACACACCTCCTCAACCTCCCATTGACCTTCTTCACTGGTACATTCGCTGTACGGGCCCCATAAGCCCTCCTTTATCCAGCGATCTATCTCGGTCCATCTCCTGCCTCCACTCGAAAGGCACTCGATGCACAGCACAATAATTTGTCACGCATCCATTCTTCATCCGTATTTCCACTCCATAATCTCAAACCCAATTCCTCACTACAAATTTGATTGTATTCCTTTACCAATCGCTCTACTCTCTTTTGCAAACCTTTCCGGTCTCCTCACTTACTTTCCTTCTTCTTGCATCTTCTCGCATTGTAATTCTCCATTTCTCACACCTCGAACTTGTGATCTCACTACCTCCTTTCTCACCGTCGAAATCCTCATTTCTATTTTATCCAACATTATACTTTCACTCACCGCATTTACACGATCTTTCATTGTAAATTCCTCACTTTCTTCCTTAAAAAGACTCGCCTTCATTCATCTCTATATTAATCCTTTCTTCCATTATTCTGCCGTACCTCCAGGCTCTATTTACCCACATTCATCTAGGACTGTTTTCATGATCCAATCTCTACTCTCGCTATCTATGATGACAAACCCCATCTCGCAAATACCTACCAAAAATCATAAACCGGACCCACTCTCGTGATCCAATCCCATCCCAACACTGTTTCTACACTCCGATCCATTATCCACAAATCAAGCACTTGTAGCTCCTTTGTACACAAATCCTCTATATTTACTCGGCCCATGACCGTTATTTCCGATCCATCAAACTGCCTCACACTATTCTCTCTGCTTATAACTCCCCTCGGCTATAATTTACGATATTTCTATATGCTTTATTAGTGTCAAATCACTATTAGTGTTGTTAAACGGCTCTTTTTGAGCTGATTTTTAAAAATTACTAACTCAATATTTCATCCTGAATAATATTAAGCATGCCTGAAGATTTTGTTTGTAGAAGGAACAAAGGTTTAAACATCTATTAGCAAAATCCCAAGGCTTAGACAATATTTTTCTGGCGAAAACATTGAGTTAGCCTTTTTTAAAATCAGCTCAAAACGAGTCGTTTAACAACACTTCACTATAGTAGCCAGCATAAATGAAAGAATATTAGTAACAGAATTTTGGCCAAATTTATGATTAATAAGCGGCTGGAAACATTATTCTAAAAATTTTATCATTGTTTAATAAATTGTAAATTAATCCATTTAGTGTAGAATGAAGAAAAAAATTTGCCCCCCAAACCTTCCTTTTATGATCACTTAATATATCTTATTGAGTGTTAAAAATAATAATTTTTTTTTAGAGAATTTCATTATAGATTTTATTTATTGTTAAAATACTATAGTATAAATAACATCCCTTATTTATTTTAATGACAAAATACAATAAAATAAATTTCAAGATGTAGAAATTTTATACAGATTATTAAAAATTTATTGTATATAACTATATTTAAAAAAATATAATTCAATAAAATATAAGTAATTCTTGTACGGTATTTAAAAAAAATATTATTTAACAATTATAATTAATACAAATGAATCAAAATATAAATAATTCATATTACAAATGCAATACTTTTATTAAAAATAGGCAGAGAATCTAAAGTGCAATTACACATGAAAAGGGCCTGCAAAGCATTTTTTGATCTCAATACCAAAATACGACATCACAAAGTAACTTATCATGAAAATGAGACTTTCTTAATATCCTCTCACGTTTCAAGTGTTATCAACAATTCAGACTCAACTGGCAGAAGAAAATAATTTTTTTTAAATAAAATTGTGACTAATAAATCTTTCATTTAATTGAAATAAAAATGTATCAATAAGGGGAATAAAATATTAATTTTATAAAAATCCTCAATCGTTTAAGCGATTGGACTGTCTAAAAACTACTCTAGGTTTATTAATTTCAATCCCAAACATATTAGCGATCTCCTTTACTTTCTCGTATATTTAATGAAATTTTCATTCACATCATCTCTAATATTTTTTAATATTTCAATATTATCCTTTGGCCAATTCATAACCTCTCTTAAATCCAAATCAATATTTTGTAGCTTTTGCTAAAATCATATGTATAATTTAATAAAAAATATACATATTGAATTGATATTAAAAATGTGGCTTCGTAATAGTCTGCAAAAGATTTTCAGCATCTGTAGAATCTTTTACTTAAATTGATATGTAAGATTCGAGAGCTGCAAAAATAACTTCATAAAAATCTCACTGATTGTTGTCTTTCAATAAATAGTTGGGCAAAATCTTTTTAGTTTTTTTTTGATTTGAATCAATATCATAAACGTTCGGTTAAAAGGATGCCTCTTCTTGGGTGGTGTGAAAATGTCAAACCGATGATATTGTTTCTATATTTTGAAAAATATATTAGAATTATAAAAAGATATCTATAATACATAATAAATTCCAATTAAATTAAAATATTTTTACGTAAACTTTTCCGGATGTCTCGAATTTCGCATGCCTATATATCATCAAATTTAGGAAATGTGAACTACAGTGAACACAGTCTTGCACATGGATCTCGAATCTACATTCTCTTGGATTCGGGATCTCAGACATTAAAGAAAATATTTTAAATTATTTGGCTTTCCTCCGTTTTTTTACTCTTTTCTAGATTAATAGCAATTTTTTTTATTTTCATTAAAATATCGTGCCTTCAACAGTTATATAAAAATTTTTTTTTTAAATTTAGGAAAAAAATATAATACTCGGATTGGTTAAATTTTTTAATTTTTTCCCCAAATCGGGGTTAGAAATAGTTGCGAATACGAAATAAACCTGGGCATATCTTTTTTACAAATTCTGGACTGGGCGAATTAAAAAATATTTAACAAATAATAATATATTCAAATTCCTTTTGACAAAACCTAAAAATATATCCAAAAGAAAAAATTTCTTCTATGGTCAAAAATTTTTAAAAAATTGAATGCTTAAAAACAAAATTTTTTCAACCCCCCCCCCCCCCCGACATTATAACCAACCAGGTTTATTATTTGAATATATTTTGAGTGCTATAAGCACTGGCACAGGTGCCCCCCCCCCCTTTTCAAAAAATAAAAAATGTAGAGTATACGTTAAAAAGGTTTAAATTTTTTTTATATACAAATAAATTCATCAACTAAATAATATTTTCAATATAAAGTTCGTTTAATATGATTCGGACGGAACTTTAAAATTTTCTGTTGTGGAAGGATATTATATTAATTTCAGAATTTATATTATTCAAGTTGTTTTTAAAGTAATTGATAATCATATAAATTCTAACTGATATCTTTTCTAAAAATATACTTCCTATCGAGGATATGGTTGTATAATAATTATTTTAAAAATAGTGCATATGCAACATTTTGATTAGGTCAACTCCTAATGCATTTAAGATACAATTGCTCAACCTTAATGACTGTTTTATAAATTTTATACTAGTAAAACTTTTAGATGCAATAAAAATAGCTATTGAAAGCTTTTTTCCATATTTAAAAAAAAATAATCAAGATTTTCTATTAATCTCGTTTTATATCGGACCTGGATCAAATCAGGCCTATATAAAGTTGCATGGAGAGAATCCCATTTTTTTAAAATTGTCGAACCTGGACCTATACCTAACCCAGCAAAAATCAATGAGTTTAAAAGTTGCATTCATCGGGTCCTCTTTATTTATATATTTAGGGCCACAAGTGTATAATTTAGATTACAAAAAAGTATTTTATTTTTGATAAAAAAAACATACATTTCGTATATTTACAATCACAGTCGTATATATATATAACTAAATTATGATAACCCTTATAATAAATTTCAATCAAAACTGGCACCCAATTTTTTTTAATAACGTACAAATAATCTTAATCACTCTTAGTTTTTTTGTCTTCTTTATCATATAACACCATAAACACTAATAGATACACCATCACCATCATCAGAAAGGCGCTAGTGTAGTAAGGGTAGGCAGTCGGTATAAATCGTTCATATTGAGTATGCTGAAAGGGTTTGACTGAAACCTTATATAGCAATTGTAAATTTTTTGGAGAAAATAATTAGTAATAAGAGTATTCAAGTCTTAATGTAAACAAATAAAATAAATCATTTTATTTACCTGCTTAGTGATAAAAAGATGCGTATAACCTTTTCTTAAATAATCAACTTTGAATTGGAATACTCCATACACATCTGGTAGTTTAAATTTGGCTGTGTATTTGCCACCTTCATGAATATGAAAAACATAAAATTAAAATTTAAGGAAAAGATTATTACTAGTCATATTAAATATATAATATAAATATTTAACAAATCTACCTAATTTAAATAAACATTTGAATAATTTTATAATAATAAATAACTTGGGTTTCGAAATTTATTACAAATCATTTACTGAGAGCCGCCTGAAATTCATATTATATTTAAACATCGCCCCCCAGTAAATGATTTAAAAAATTTTCTATAGATTCTGAAACCCACATATAGGTCCAACGCTATGCTTAAAAAAACTACCTTTGTAAGATAAACCGGTTCTTATAAAAGGATCGATTCTCACAAACTCTATTTGTATGTCTTTAGCAACATAAGGAACCCAACGACCCTTGTCATTCAAAGTTTCAATATCTATTTCGTATATCTATATTTAACCAAAAAAAATTAATTAATAACTTTCATATTTATATAATATTATAAATTTATTATGATTCCATTTGAGCAGAATTAAGCGTTAGGGGGTTAAAAAATGTTGCTCAATAAGACGTTTAGATTCATAATCGGAGAATCCAAACACTCAATAAATTTAAATTATAACATTTAAAATATAAATTATTAAAAATAAGTACCACATCGTCCGTAATCGTATAAGACAAGGGATTTTCAATTCCACCAATCTTATGATGAGTGACATTACCGGCTCTAAGAACCCCTGTTTCTTTAAAGATCCATTTGGATAAGGCCACGGCAAATTCTTTATTTCCTGATGGGCCAATGCTTGTTTTTATAATACATGTAAATTTTTTGTTTTGTTTATGATATTAATTTGATAAAAATAAATTTATATTCATTACATTCAACAGAATATACTTTGATTATAGCAATTCACTCAAAAATATAAGAATCTAACAAATGCCCTGTAGATAAATAAGTTTTTTTAAAAATCTATAAAATATAAACATGCAGAGATGATATAAGCTATTAAAAATTACAGAAAAGTGTTTCCTACCCTATCAAGCTTCAAAAGACTTTACCTACACGATAAAGCAATTATTCTCATCTATAGTTAGACAAACTTATGAAAAGTGGAGGCAAGATTAATTAATTTAAATAAGAGAAATATAAGTAAGAGGATGAATTAATAAATATTTTCGGATACCAATTAATGCTCTGATGGGCCTAACATGTATGACTGGAGCCTATATATTTAATGAGTGTTAGGCCAAAATAGGTTTATAATAAGATAATATATATTTTTATAAATAGCCATAATACATATTGGAAATCAGGACTGATTTATTTATTTATTATGGCCTATGATTGATCTTTAAACATAAAGATGATGGGAGGCTAAACTGGATCCATCGCGAATGAGAAATATTATTATCTTAATTTATGACCGGGTACATCAATATAGCATAACAATACAAACCTTTTCCCGGTCAGCCCATCCTTAACGTTGGCGCCGAAGAAGGCGTTGGAGAAAAGCATATCTGATCCAGTGAAAGCGACACGAGCGTCGTTAAGAGCCTGGACAGCGGCAACAAGAGATAGCCCTCTTCCAGAGGCATGGGGATAAGTAGTCACACGTAGAGCGTCTGGAGAATAGGAAAAGGCTGTGGATCGGGCAGTCAATACGTCAAATGCCAGTTTGTTATCGGGATCTCGGATCAGGCTTTGTTTGAATATTAAATGCCAATTTTTTTATATATTTATTTTTATCATACATGCTTTTTTAAATGATAAAGCATAAAGATACCAATAAAATTAAGAAGTATTGCAAGAAATTCCTTAAGTGACTTCAAGTTTATGCAACAATATTAAATTCTAGTAGTTGTGAAGATTACATCAAAATGAAAAAAGGAACCTGAATATTAGTAGGTCAAGACCAAAATTATCAATTTTGAATTTCCAATAACAATCAACAAGACATAATTTATTTAAATTCAAAAAAAAAATCTTTTGAATTGATAAATATTTAGAGGAATATTGTACCATATTTAATAAAAATAATGGCATAAGCTATATAGATAAGTTGTAAAGAAAAATAAAATGGTAGATGAATAGACATTGGGTTAGTAGAACAATATAAAAAGCATAGAACAATCAGATGTTTCAGAAATTGTCAAAGCCAATATTTGTGTAGAGTAACAGAATTTAGTTTTGAAAAAAAAAATAATATTCTAATTATTGGTCATTTATAGACTTTGCAGAACTAAGTTTAGAATGTTAAGCATACTTCTAGAGATTAACTAAAGTTGTGAACTCTATTTTAAAAAAAGGGTTATCTTAGAGTTCTTGTAAACAAGGTTCAGAATACAGAAAAATAAGGACCTTAAAATATATAATAAAAGAAAACAGAAATACTGGAAAAAATGGTTTTTATATAAATATGTAATATGGAATTATTTAAATATGTTTCCTCTACATCGTTATTTGTAATAAAATTGTGTTATTACCTATGATTAATTATAGAATAAAATGTTTAATTATAAAAAATGAACATAATTAGAAAATCAATTCTTGAAGCCTGGATTTTTTGAAAAGGGCATAGGTTATGATTTGAAGGATGTTTTACAAGACAGAATCGAAAAAATAAATGGATTAGAATAAAAAGTAGGCTTGTGAAATGAAATGGAAAAGAATATGAATATAATAAAGGTAAAAGATACAATATAATAAATCAGAGCAATGAGGATTATAATTTGGAATCTAACAAATTATATTTGTATACATATGACCCATTCATTCCCATACAAATCAACCAGTGTTTTGACCAAGCATCTCAAAAATGAATGAAACTTGGCATATCAGTCATTAAGTTAAATAGGGTTAATAATAATGTTAACGAAGTTTATTTTTTTTTTGAAAAAATAAGATTTTTTTAAGAATTTTTTTTATTGACTTAAAACTATTAATTTTAAACATAGATAATATATTCTGTTAAAAAATATGGTATTTATTTATATTAAATTAAATATAAAATGAAATTTAAAAAAAAATTTACTTGTAAGGTTTTGAACGAACATGAATGCATTCCTTTTTTGAAGGTAAGCATTGACATGAACATATTCAATTTTTTTAAATAATGTTTACAGCATAGAATAAAAACATACCTGAAAATTAGTGTTGTTAAATGGCTCAATTTGAGCTGATTTTTAAAACTAAAATATTTTAGAGCCTTGAGATGTCCAAACATTTGTGGCATCTATGAGCAAAATCTTCAGGCTAGTGAAAATTTTTTTGAATGAAATATTAAGTTAGCCAATAACATTACTGAGAACTAATACCTTAAAAAATAGATTGAATGGGTTAGTCCTTCTTAATATATAGGGAGTTGAAACTAGAGGTGGGCGCGGGCCCTGAAATTACGCGTGACCCATCGTGTCAAGGTGGGTCACGGCGTGAGTGTGAATAAATTTTAAATTCCAAGGCGTGACTGGGCGTGACGGGCCTTCCCAAAATTTTCCCCGGGCGTGAATATAAATTTCCCGTGAATCACGGAAATTTTAATTTTTAAAATTGTTTTTTTATAAATATAAATTTGCAATTTTATAATTATATTATATATTTCCTTATTAAATTAGTTCTTTTTTAAAAAAGAATAATTTATGAAAACTAAAAATCTTCCGCATTTTATAAACAACATCTGGTATCATTTCGCTAGTTCTATTTTCTTTTTATGTTTAGGTGTTTTTTATCGCAAGACTTTATGCTAAATTTTGCTTAAACTTTTTACAGAAAAGTCAGTTATATTTTATTTGTAAAGATCTTCAATCTTTAAATGCAATAGAAAGTGAAGAATTTTACAAGCTACTAGGCCAAGAGATATAACAAAATAAAAAAGTTGTGAACCGGAAAACTCTTATGAATACTATAGGTCCAAAAATATACCATGAAATAAAATTTAAGATTAAAAGCATGATCAATAATAATTACTTGTCGATAATCACTGATATTTGGACGGATGACAATAATAATCTAAGTTTTTTAACCATAGGACATATTATCATTAAGAATTTTAATTAAAAACATTTGTTTTGACCACAAAGGCAATGGATGAAAAAAACGTCAAAATTATAAGTGTAATCAATTCAATTTTAGGAGAATATACAGAAGTAGAAAATTACTTAAATAAATGTATAGTTGTGAACTGAGCCAATCTTATAAGTGCATTCAAAGATGACGAAATGCTAGCATGTATATGCCATATACTAAATAATATTATGCATTATATTTTTGACGATTGTTTAACTGAAATAGGCATAAATATAAATGGTGTAAAAAAATATTACAATATTTCAAACAATCTACAGCTAATAGCAAACTGCCACACCCTTAAACAAGATATAATAGCGAGAATAACGAGATGGAACTCTGTTTATATAATGATACAGAGTTTCTTAAAATCATATTCTGAAATACAGGTATACTTGTTTAGCAAGCAAGAATTAAATAGATTAGCCACAATTGATATCAGCATCATACGCGAGTTAGATAAATTTTTATCAATATTTATACAAATGCTTGGATAATCTGAGAGCAGATTCCCATCACACAATAAATGAAATTTGTCTATGAAAACAAAAATTAATAAAATTTTGTTAACCTTCTGAACGTGATAATACTAATCAAAACCTTAAAATACAGAACAAGATTTCTTTTAAAAGATTATTATGCAGCCACTACATAGTAGGCTTAATTCTAGATCCGAATTTCAAAAGACTTAAGTTTTTAATAAAAGAAGAAAACATATATAAAACAATCTTAAAAATGCTAAATGATATAAAATTAGATGATATACATAAGTCAATGCCAACTATCATTTATAACTTTCCTAATTTATCCTAAACTCATAAAAAACCGTATATTTTAAATGATCAATACCAACTATCACTTTCCTAATTCATCCTACACTCATAAAAGACCGTATATTATAAATAAAAAAATTTAGAGAATACTGATGAAGCATCAACACCACCAATGGAAGCTGTGAGGATGAACTTAAAAGATTCATATAAGATAAATAACAAATATTTTGAAGTTTTGTAAGCAGTAATATTCATTTCCTTTTTTGAGAAAATTAGCGAGTAATTTTGTCAACCGCGACAAGGTTATTTTCTGTAGCCAATATCTTATTAGAGGAAAGGTGTACACAATTGAAATAAAAAAAAGATGGACTTCTTTTTCTAAATAAATTTCGATTTATAGATTGTATTTATTTTTTGTTATTAATATGGATTATAAAATTAGAGAAATAAATAGAATGAATTCAAAAAAGTGTAAAATTATAACAATAGTTTTGAAAAATTTAAGAACACCGTGAATTTTCGGGCGTGAATCAAAATATTGCTTGTCATGAGTGGGCAGGTCAGGTCGAAATTTTTTTAGTGATAAGCGTGAATGGGCGTGATATTTTTTATTGCCACCATGAGCAAGCAGGCCGTGAATGAAAAATTAGGCCCGCACCCACCTCAAGTTGAAACCAAATCATTTAAAAATGAGTGCAATCCCAAAGAAGATTGAATTTAATATTATATTTATAATATACTTCTTAATTATATTTTACCCCAACCATGTATACTTTTTAAGCATATTGACAATATTTTATAGTAGCCTTAATAAATTTATGGAACTTAAAATATTCTTAAATAACTCCTAGAATAAATTTTTTTAAATTCAATTCCCCCCCCCCTCCCAGCAAATTCCAGAGTTAGCACTTGGTATTATTTTATAATAAAACCGACTATAAATTAATATTCATAACAAATATCATAATTTCAAAAAACAATAAGTTATAATTTAAATTTTCATATATCTCTTGACCAATAATGTTTCTTTCCTTGTTTTAACATATACCAAACAAAATAAATGTTTACCCAATTCCTTGATATAGAATTGGTTTCTTGGTATTGCCAACAATAATTTTAGAATCAACAAGATCTGAAGAATCCCCCCATATTAAAGTGTGCTTAATAAACAATTTAATTCTAATATTCAGAATAAATAAAAAATACTTTTCCTTGATCTTTATTATCATAATTAAAATGATCAATTGCATATGTACCAGGTTGATCATATTCAAATCCACATTCAACAGCTAATTCCCTTATTGGAGCACCTAAACAATTGTGTTATATAAACTTTTAGATGTTTATCATTACCTATATTAGTATTAGTTGCAACAAGTATATTATGCCCAGTATCTATAAATGTGGTAAGTTCTTCAACACTGAATTGACCACCAAACTCTATAATGATAATAATATAAAATATTCATAAAAATTTCAACCTTCCACTGATGGTGCCAATAATATTAAATGATCACAAACATAAACATTATTCTTTTGTAGAATTAATTTTGAATCATCAGCTACATTATAAGACAGATGATAGCCTCTATCTAAATGCAATATCTAAAAGTCATAAAAGAGATATATCATACCAGTTAATGTTTCAAAAAATTGAGAATATTTATCACGAGATTGTAGATTATCTAATAGAACCAAAATTTTATTTCCCTGCAAGGCCCACACAGTTTTTATCAAAAAGAGTGTGAGAAAAATTAAATTTGTTAACATAACGTGGATTTAAAATAATTTTTATTACCACTAAGAAAATTTTGAATATTCAAAACATTCATATTACATCTATGAGTTCAAAATATAAGAAAAAAATACATATTGATGTATTTATTTTTAAACATATATATTTATCTATATGCTAAAGCTTGAGGTTATCTAATTTTTTAAAATTAAGGTAAAAATAACTAATAACTTAAATCCCTATTTATTTATATTTATAAATTTTGATAAAGGAATCATATCCCCAATCAGTCTTTATCTAAGCGGGTGGGGGGTATAGGAAGAGTTTGTTTTCAATTTATTTGAGGGGGGGGGGGTAGAAATAGGCATTGGGGGGGGCATATATTAATTGAGGGTTATCTATTAAATTTTAAGCTGGAATATAAATATTGCTATAAAAATCAATACATTATAGACCTATTATAATATATTGATATTACTAAACATCGAACAAATAGATATATTGCAAAATACTATATATATATTATTTTTGAAAAAAACTATTTTCTTCTAATCCTTTAAATTTTATAAAGGGTAAGATATTTACAGCAAACTCATATTCATGGCAAATATAATGTTACAATAATCATTGTAAATGAGTGTGTTTATGATTGAATTCATTTTCTAAAAATAAATCTTTTACATTCAATATTTTGTTAGTTGGTAGTAGAGCATTAATAATTTAAGTTATTCTTTTTTAAATTTATGAAGGGTTTACCATTATAATTAAAAAAGTATAATGATAATGTAAAAATATCTTTGCCGAAGGTGTGGAAATTTTTTTTAGGTGGGTAAGCATAGGCTTTTAGGGGGGTTTGCAACCATTGAAAATCCTGTAATGTAGATGCTGTATCAAGCGAACTTATTTTTTCTTATCTAAAACGCAACAGTGACGAAGAGTGAAGTTTCCTATTAGAGAAGCAATTAATTTTTTTTATTAGCCCATATACGAAAATCCCTTATCATTACAAACATATTTTTCGATTGAAAATAATGGAAATGTCATACAATATAGAGAAATAGATAATTCAAACCCAGTGGCCACTCCTATTTTTCATATTTTTTGATAAAAAAATTACGAATGCAGATTTTGATTTCTTATTTTAAGTTTTCAAAATTGGTTGTCTTCCCTATCCCTATCTACAGCGTCTACATGAGTGGGAGGGGTAGGAACAGTTTGCATCCTATTTTTTTGAGGGGGTAGGCTGCTTTAATGGGAGTATGATAAATTTTTTGGGGGGTTATCTTTTAAATTTTGAGATCAAATAGGATTTATTGCTGTAAAAATTAATACTTTTATTATAATACAATTCATCGACCAAATCTATATATTGCAAACAATAATACACATTGTTTTTCCTATAAAACTTGCTATCCTTTGTAATGTAATTTAAAAGGTTTAGATATTTCAGCAAGCTCATAATGTCATAATAATTAATTCATTGTAAATAATGGAGGTTTTAATTGAATTTTTTATCTAAAAATAAATTCTTTATTTTCACAAAATATCGATAGTTGGTAGTAGAGATAGATTAATTTAAGTTATCCTTTATTAATTCTCTGAAAATGGTATCAATAAATTAAAAAGGTGAAAATAATAATAGAGAGACACCGCCGCCGAAGGCGACTAGAATTTTTAGGGGGGTAGGCAAAGGTTTTTGAAGGGGGTTATCCGGTGAAAATCCTGTCATGTAGACGCTGCCTATCTATACTATTCAATAATCAATTTCTTCACATCAAAATTTATTGAATTAAATAATATTTTTATTCAATTTTCAATAACAATTGCAAATATTAGATGTTAAATTAATTATAGCTTTTAAAAGAGAAGAAAATTTTTTTTAAAAAAAAAAGTAATCTAAAAGTTTTTTTTTTCTTCATTATTTAACAGAAAAAATAAGTATGACAGGTCTATATAGATATTGTGACAACTTTTTAATGAATAAGAGTAGGAGGGAGGGGTGGTGATTTAGGCTTTTAAAAATACAAAAAAATTGTTTTACATTCCAGGTTTCATATTTTTAATCATCTATATTATAATTTTCCGATGTCCTCACTACGTCATCGTGACGTCATGTCATCGCTACGTCATGTCATCAGTACGTATTTATTTTTATTTTTTTTATTTGTTGATTTTATTTGTTGATTTTATTTATTTATTTTTATTTTTTTTATTTGTTGATTTTATTTATTTATTTTATACAAACAGATGATCCTACCAATTTTTAGAGATGATTACTTTTAGCGATTTAGAACTATAAATAATACTGCTTGGACGATGGTTCAACAAGTTAACCATTTTCCTTGAATTTATTTTTAAATATATTATATTTTTTATTATTTTTAGCGATTATTACTTTTAGCGATTTAGAACTATAAATAATAATGCTTGGACGATGGTTCAACAGGTTCATCATTTTCCTTGAATTCCTGAAATCGGAGTGCCAGTTATAAAAAATTCTCTAAATAAGGGAACTCTAAAACAGACTTAATCAAAGTTTCCCTTTCACTGATTTCATAAGTTAAATATTAGAAGAAGTAAGATTATTAAATTAAGCTAAATTCTTTTTAAAAAAAAGAAAATATATATACTCTTTTAAAATTTTACACTTTTCACTCCATACTCTTAGTTATAATATTACAAAACCTTTCAGGCAACTAATCCTTATAATTGCCTTATTCACTTATATCTGTTTGTTTTCTGAAGTTTAAATATTTAAATAAGAATATTAAATTAAGGTAACTATACTAATTATTTTATCTACTTTATAAATTAAGAAGAAGAATCTTTAATTAGGTTAAAGCGTTGTGTAAATTTAATCAAGAAAGTGTTAATTAAAAAATAGTAAATTTGAATGCAGGTTGATCTCATGTAGTTCAAAAACATTATGACCAATGTAAACAGGGTTACTCTCAGGGTTGGGCAAATTTTCAGAAAATTGTATTCGGATACAGATACTTTATAAAATTTTGTATTTAAGATACAAGATACTAGATACTTTAGAAAAATTTCAATAAGATATAAGATACAAGATACTTGTATTTTTTTTATAAAAAAGTATCGGATACAAGATACTTTTTTTAAAAACTTTAAATAGTCAAAATCAAAATGTATAAAGCTTTATTTTCTTATCTATAATATAAATTTATAAAAAAATATTTAAAATAAATTGTAGAAAATAACAAATTTATTATAAAAGATAATGCGATATTCCATTTAATAATTATATAATTAGTAAATAACAGAGTTGTTAAAAGATACTTTTTAAATGGATCTAGATACAGATACAGAGTCTCAAAAGTTATCTAGATACAGATACAGATACAGCGTCTAAAAAGTTATCAAGATACAGATACATTTTTAAATGTATCTGTATACAGATACATTTTTATTATGCTCTTATAGGTTTGCATAAACCTAAATTAATATTATATTGTGAAAATTCATGAAATGAGCTAAAAAATTTATTGACGCGATATTACATTTATCAGAATATAACTAAAATAATGATTTTAATATAATATATGATTAAATAATTATAAATAATTATTAGATTTCAGTAATAAAACATTTTCAAAATTTTGATCATTTAGGCATCCTCGTTTATCTGTAAAGACATTTTTAGCAACACTAAATAGTCTTTCCACAGGGGCGCTTGAAGGAATTGTAGTGTTATATTTAATAAATAACAATTTTATATCAGGGTATTCTTTAAAAATGCTAAAATCTCTACATTCATTTTTGAAAAAATTATTTAAAATTTGTTGATTATCAAAATTTAAATCATTATTAGAAATTATATCTGCTGTAGGGTACTGAAAAAAATCTGAAATTAAATTATTTGTTTTTTTTGGCAGGTTATTTGCTTGCAGTCAGTTGATGACTTTGATAATTCACCAGCTAATCTTTGTATTAATTGTTTTCTTTTATTAAGATTTTCTTCCATTTGCAACCATGTCCAATCAAGTTTAAAAAAAGGGTGGAGCATGGTTGCTATAATATTATCATCTTCAAATAAGGTCACAATAAACCTAGAATTATTAAATATTTTTAATTTATTATATTAATTTACCTATCCTCAATCCCTTTAAGTAAGGCATCTAAGAGTGGTAAACAGAATCTCAGGTTCATTTCTTTAAAATTCTTTAATTTGAAAATAAGTTGTGAAATAGTTGCACAGTAATAAGCTGTGTACATATACTTATCTCCCTGCAAAATATCAAGGGAATTAGCTATTGGCTTCATTAGCTAATTTAAAATAATGCTATATATATAAATATTATTTATAACTTACTAAACAATATTCATGAATAAAATCACATTCATTAGGTAAAAACCTAGGTAGTTTTATTCCATCACATATCTTGTCTACTTTGTCAGATTTATCTTTTATAATTTCTGACATTAATTGTAAGGCATTATAGGTGGAGTTCCATCTAGTTATATTAGGACATATAAAATAACGACCAATATATTCCTTAATAATCTTAGATGAAATAGGAGACTTATTTTGCCTATTCCATATATTTTGGCATTTAAGTAGTGTTGTGCTATATATCTAATGAAGAAAATATTACTTATTTAATTAAAATTAGTTTTACCCTCTGATATTGTTTACACTGCATGGCTCTATTGGCATCCACAGTGGCTATAAGATTCAATGTTTGACTGGCACAACATTGGTGATGAGGTAAACTAAATGATTCTGATAATTCAGAATCCTGTGCAGTATTATAAAGATTTGATATAGAAATTGGCACAACTGCTTCATCTTCCAGATCATCAATTGATTCACTTGTATTACAATTGGCTTGAAAACTCTTTAATTAAGTAATCAATCATATATTATGTTTATATTTATTTATAATAAAATAAACCTAAAACATTTTTTAAAATTTTTGGCATTATCTGTAATGGTCTTTGAAATTTTATTTTGAATGCAATAATCCTTAGCTATATCTTGAAAATTTTTTGCTATTTTATCATATGTATGACT